CGTCAGAATTCAGAACAAAGAATTGAAGAGACATTTAGTTGAAGATTGAAGCAAATCTTGGTTCAAATAAGTGCTCCAAATTTGTCCCAAAAATCAATTCTATTCCAATTCTAGAAAAGAATATCATATGATCTATTTTAAGTCCAAACTTGCCTTATGTTGTGTGCAAACTTCAACCATTAAACACTCAAGGTTTCAATGTCAATCTTAGCCCAAATAATAGGTATATTTGTATACTTATTTGATGCTTAAATTCAGCCCCAAATCAACCCCAAATCAACCTTCAAATCAGCCCAAACACAATCCATGATCTTACATGTCCACACAACAACAATTGATTTATTTTGGGTAATCCATTGATCCAAGAAGGCAAGCACATTGATGGAAAGCTGGAGGGGACATTTTTACATTATTTTGGGTCAAAAAGAAGAAAGAGATAGCTCATAAATGAGGAAGAAAAACGTGCACCAAAGTGGTTGCAAAGCTGTCCTGATTTGATTTTTCAGAACACCTTTCGGTGTTTTGCCCATAACTTTTGACTCAGGTGTCCAAATGAGCTGTTCTTTAATGATCTGGAAAGATGACAAAATTTTCTATAAATATGTCTCTAATAGACTTTTCCAGGAAAGGCTTCTAAGAGGGTCAAATTGCTGTCCAAAGCTAGAGTCAGATTTGTGTCCGAATTTTTTTTTGAAATTGTTTTGTGTTCTTCTTTATAGATTTCGGTTCTTTAGTTTGTAAAACTTATTATTTCAGTTTGATTCAAATTATTTCATGTTTATTGAAGTGTTCTTATATATAATCATGGTTGGCTAATCTCTTTCTTGGATCCAAATCAAGGATGATGGTGATTGAGGTGAGTTCTTTAGGATATGAATGAATCTTAATGTTTATCTTCTCATTTTCTTCATGAATGATTTATTATTGCAAATAAATTTTAGAAATCATTTAGGTAATGTTATAATCTTGAATTTTTATGCACAAACTTTAGTTTTGGTATAGAGATTGCTTGATTCAATGTCTTACTTAATATGAAAGTACTTGTTCATTCTTAAGCAATAATCAATCTTCATCCTTTTAAACTTCATTGTAATATCTTCTGATCTAATATCACCATCGTTGATATTAGGTTGAGTTATCTTATATATGTTGAAGAAATCACCAGTACATCACCATTAAAATTGATTTGGACCAAGACTTACCTTTTCTTGTCATTTAAAATCTATTTACACTTTTTCATCTTTGAAAACAAATCCATCAATTATTTTCAATCAAGTTATTGTTAATTTAATTTCTCTTGAGTTTTTTTCTTGTTACCTAGCTTAATTTTCAGATCTAGCTCTCTGTGGATATTACCTCGATCTTACCGAGTTAATTGCTACATCGCACACTCGTGCACTTGCGAGTTAAAACAAGCCGATCATAAAAAGCGGTCAAGCACCTACTAATGTCAAAGGTAAATATGAAACTCAACCTAAACATAGCTATGATGTTAAATGTTTCAAGTGTCAGGGACATGGACATTATACTTGAGAGTGTCCAAACAAAATAATCATGATGATTAGAGATAATGCTAATATGGAATCTGAAATCGACTGATCTGATTGTGAAGGCATGCTATAATTGGAGGATAGTGATGGGGATGAGTTGGCATTACCAGTTGAGGAGTCCTTGGTTATAAGGCGAACACTTCAGGTTTAGGTCAAGGAAGATGAAACTAATCAACAAAGGGAGAACATCTTCCATACGCGCTGTTATGTACAAAGCAAGGTATGTTGTTTAATTATAGATAGTGAAAGTTGTGTTAATGTTTGTAGTACCACCCTTGAATTTTTAAAAAGGACAAGTCGCCCATAAAAACAGACCATGTTCTGAAAAGAGGTAAGTGGCTCATGAAAATAATTTAATTTCAAAAAGGGTAAGTCATTTGTGAAAATAGACCATCTTCTAAAAAGAGACAGGTTGCCTATGAAAATAAATCATCTTCTGAAAAGGGGTACATCGTCTATCAAAATAAATCATCTTCTGAAAAGGGGTAGGTCGTCTATCAAAATAGACTAGTTTTTGAATTTTAGAAAGGGTAGGTCACCTATGAAAATAGATCATCTTTTAAAAGGCAAGGTCATCTATGAAAATAGATCTGTTTTTGAATTTCAGAAATGGCAGGTGATAATCTTCTAAAATGGGGAAGGTCGCCCATGAAAATAAAATAATTTTTAAATTTCAGAAAAGTGCAGGTAACAAAAAAAAAAAAGGAAGGTCACCCATGAAAATATACTAGTTTTTGAAAATTTAGAAATGGTTGTTTGCCCTTAAAAGTGAGTTTTTGAATTTTAGAAAGGGTATATCATCCATCTTTTTGTTAAGGAAGACACTTTTCTTTACAAGCTCACCATACAAAAACTTTAATTTTATTCTCGTCAGCATTGTAAAGAAATTAAAATGCATATGTTACTACACACACACACACATATATATATATAAGTGTAAGGAACTGAAGCAAGCCTAAAAATAAATGCACAAACCCAAATAAATGCCAAGTGAAGTTGATAGGCCAAACTAGAAATCCAAGGTTTTAATTGACAATGCCTATTAGTAAAAATAATTTTTTTTTGGAGTTTAATGACTTGATTACAATTTTTAAAAGTTTAATTATTTAATTAAGGGTTTAATCGCAAGAGAAATCAACTTTTAGAAGTCAAATTTGATGTCAATTGAAACAATTAAAGTTTAAGGAATCAATTGGAAGCTTGGAAAGTTTAATTTATCTAAATCAGGGGCTTAATTGCATAAAATTCCAAGTATGGTGAGCAAATAGAGGCTTAATTGAACTTTATATGTAAAAGAATCAATTTGCAAAACGTGTGCCACTTCAAGGGCTGGAATCAGGAAAATTAGGGGTCAAATAAAAAAATTAAAAGTTTTGTAGTCATTTAGAGGTGTAATCAAACAAGTCAGAAACCAAGGATTAACTTGTAAAAGACACTCAAAATTAAGGGTGATAAATGAAGTTGTTAGGGACATAATTGCATGAAATTAGAAAGAAAAAAGGGAATTAAGGATAAAATAAAATGAAATTAGAAGATAAAGGATCGAATGTGGGTGGGCACTTGCAAACGAAATCATCCAAAACTACAGTTTCAGACATTATATTGTTTGGGTGGGCACTTTTAAATATTTGAATGTGGAGCTATAGACCTCCAAATAAAAAAAAGAGTGGGTTCGATCAAAAGGCATATGCCTCTACAAAGTCCAGGTGGTCTTAGGCGATGTTCATATCAGAAATACTCCGACAAGGTCTTGAAAGTAGCCAACCTAGTCAATCGTGACAAGAACACTTATTTGTAGAAGAACGTTCAGCCTTTTCATTTGCTCCCACTTAGAAGCCTCTAGAAAGATTATATCAAGGGGTTTAAAACCTTTCTTTCTGGATCCATGGGTTGAAAACACCTCACATTAGTCCCCAAGCACCCTATAAAACCATATACACCCAAACCAGTAGCTCCATAGCAAAACTAGCTAGGTTTTAGTATATTGGAACCCTACTCAACCCATCTAGAAGACCTAAATCTACCTATATAAGAAAGCGACAAAGAACGGAAGAAGAGGGGAGAAAATAGAGAAAAACAAAGGGAAGGAGGGGAAGGAAAAGAAGA